TATATTTGTTGCTATATAATTTTTCATGTTATAGATAAAAGATAAAAAAAATTGTTACGGTATATTGCAGTATAAAAATTCATTTCTTAAAAATAAAAGAAAATGTCTTAAAATCAATCTTACTAAAACTTTCAATGTTATTAAATATTTTCAAAGTTTTAGTTTCTCTATTTAACTAAGAAACTATACTTAAATTTACTATAAATTCATAAAAAAAAAGTTACTTAAAATTACGAAATATTACAAAATATATATAACATTACCAAATATTTGTGATTGGAATATTAATAAACAATTTCATAATATCTATTCGAATTTCAATTATGAAAAATTGTATTCTCAAAAAATGTGAATGATGAATGGATTCTTAAATATATATATANTATATATATATATATATATATATATATATATAACTGTTAAAAGTAATTGTTTACTTCCTTGGAAGTTTAAAAAATCATTTCCTGGAAAGTTTAAAAAATCATTTCCTGCAAAGTTGAGAAAATTATGTAATAAATGTAAAAAATATTATAATAAGCTATATCTTAGGATTAGTAAAGATCTGTAAATAAAAATTCGCATAAAAATAACTTTAATCTTAAAATTCAAGATCAAATTTTATTTAATTAAATATTATATTTTCTATTGTATTCTATTCATTATAAAAATAAAACATTTTAAATGAATTATGAATTGCAATTCAATTCTTTTTTTAGAAAAAAATATTAAAATTCCATTAATTTTGAAATTTATTTTATTTGTAATGTTGTTTATATTTTTTGATTATAAGAAAAGTAGTACCTATTGTATACATAAATATTTCAGATTTATAAAATATCAAATTTGTATTTCTAAACGTTTATATACACAATGATGAAATATATTGCGATGAATGATCGATTCAAATAATGGTTTTAAATTAATGTCAATTTTTACACAAACCTTCACCTATTAAGATTCATCAAAAATATAGAATTATGTTATAATGCTTTATGCTTGTTTTTTATGCATACATATAAAAAGTATATATATACATAGAAATGATGAATAATTAAAAATATGAAAAATATAATATTGACATATATCACATTTTATATTTCATATATAAAATAACAATTAAA